AAATTTTGTCCTTTCCAAATTCTTGTGAGATCTCTGCTAATTGACCTACAAAAAATGACTAGTCTATTTATAGTTATAAATTTCTAAAACTGTAAAAGAGTTACTATCATTCAATTTGAGCAAAAATGTCGTTTATTTGTCTATAAAAAAGACATTTATTTGTCTAACCTGTTAAGCTGTGTACTTGTTTGTTTATCATATCCATGAATAGTTGTTTGTATTTGAGCTCAACAATTTTTTCTCTCTTTTTTTTTCTTTTGCATATTTGACTCATTTATTCAAAATTTAATTTGTTTTGTTTTGTTTTTGTCTTTTTCCTTTTTATCGGTACCGGGGATCGAACTCACAACTGCCTGCTTGTAAGGCAGGCACTTATGCCACTGAGCTAAATCCCCAGCCCCCAAAATTTAATTTGGGTCTAGATTTTTTTTCAAATCCATTTTACTCAAAGAGGAAAAAAATTTTAAAACACATTAATCAGGGCGGGTTGAGATTTAAAAGCATGCATCCACTTGGGTGGCCAGCTGGTGAATTTGGTATCAAAATAGGTTTTTTCAGAGGTCATCAGAAGTACATTACAGTAACTAAAAGGACCTTTCACTCTTGGGAGACTTATTGGTTAAGGTTCCCTTTGGTGAACAAAGGAGCAGCTCCTTGGTCTCAGCCTTTGTTCATTGACAGGAAGCCTCAGTGATCTTCATAGCCTTGCAGGGGATATAACTGAAAGGGTTTTGGCCCAGACAGGACACTGTAGCTGGTAAAGCCTCAGCTGGAACCAAGGAGCTCCATCTCCCCCACTCCTAGGAATCTACCTCTAGCGCCAAACTAGTGCCAATGGGCTACCTGTGCATCCCTAATGCCCCCTCAGGCACCACCCCTAACCTAAGCTACATATAGGCCGCCACTCCATGTGTTCCACGGAAAGATCGCCACTCCGGAGTGGAGATGCTGTGCCCCAGGGGACTGGGGGTGTCTCTCCCCACATTCTCAAGATAAAGGTCATTTATATTTCATACTTCTTATCTTTTCAGCCGCCGCTGGTCCCTCACAGTTCTATCAATAACAATAAGTGTTATTAGAACATATTATTGTAATATGTTTATATTACTCATTCATTAAAGCATTAAGTTTTCTAGACAATAAGGTTTTTGATTTAAAAATGTTCTTGTACAAAGGTTTTCATGTGGCTATAACAATTTATTGTTTTTGTAGCATATTGAATGTATTCGCGCCTGCAGATGTGTGGTCTTCTGAAGTGTGAAATAAGGACTGTATATAGTGATAGACTTTTCTTTCAGATTCAGCCATCTGCGTTTAACAAAAACTTATGTGATATACATCCTACCAAAGGACAACAAATTAGGTCAAAGTTTTTTTATGTTTTAGATAGGGATGATTGACTAAAAAAACTACCTTATGTCAAAATGAAAGTTTAAGTGTGTTACAAAGTGTCATCATGATTGTCATGCTGCAATGTTATGCATGGTTTTTTAATTTCTAATTTTCTGTATAAAATATGTAACTTACCTATTAACATTCTACAGGGATTTAAATACTGGAACATCCATCATTGGTAGAAAATAATAGTTCTATTTTATATAAGTTTAAGCTCACTGCTCCCATTACAATGTAATGTCATTACCCTTCTCCTCTGGATCTTCAACAACTGAGGGTTGGAGAAAAAAAAGATAAGAAAAAGATAAAAAAGATAGATGAGCTAACAGGACAACCAATATTTTGGTCCCAGCCCTTTGAGGTCAATGAGGACCCAGGATATAACAAAACTTCTGTTGCAACATCCTCTAAGCAAATGAGTCTATGGTCTTCTGACCAAGAAAACTGTGGGCCCACAGAGGGAAGTGATTGATGATGTACAGTGTGCCTAAGGAGAGTCACCAGGAGAAAAAAAATCTCCCAAGCTTTCATAGAAAGCAACTTGATCAAGCAATGGCATGACTCATCCAGATGGCCGACACTGACAGAAGTACCAAGAGGTGCTGTTCAAGGTTCCAAGGTAATTCCTGAGGAGACTTAACTGATCTTGATATATAACAAGAAATTAATTCTAATTAATATAGGTCTCACTTTAACTTGAGTCACTTTGACTATCCAGTGGAAAAATTAACCACAAGAAAGAAAACTGTCTGCAGAACCTCCAAACACAGCTCCTCCAAATTCAAGTGGACATCCATTGATTTGCAACTACAAAACAGAAAAGGGAGAGATGTTGGGAGTGACTGAGCTAGTGATTGTTCACAGGTGCAGAGCTGAGAGCATGAAGTGCCCAAGAATCCCTGAGGGTATGGAAGGCCCTAGGAAACAGTTGTTCCGGCCCCAAGAATGCAGGTATGAGAAGCAAACTAGTTTTTAGTCAAAGGGGTGTCACATGACAAACGTACAAATAAATGCATTGTAGTGGGTGAACAATTCCTTTCCTCCCATCAAGAGAGAGGGATCCACCTGACCTCAGCTTTCTGTTTATTGTCCATGCTGATCATCTTCATTTCTCCACCCTCTTGCCATTCTTTCTCCCCCAGCGCCCTCCCAGGAATTTTGAGTAGGCTGTGTAAGATGTGGCAAAATTGAACATAAAAGGAGTCTTACAAATGATCATGGTGATGTTGACTTTGTTGTCATGAGGACTATACGTACAAAGAAGGATTTAGGAAAAGTGACTTTATCTACTGTAAATGGGAGAAGTAGTTGTGGTAAAAAGGATGTCCAAGGGGAAGCAATAGCAGCAAAAACCTTCATATTAAAAGATTCTCAGATATATTTCATGAGATTGAACATCCAAAAAAGAAAATGTTTAGCAGATCTAAACTTACAAAGTAGTGTAACATTTCACTGAGGTATAGAGATATTTGTTCCATATTATATTATAGATGTTATACAACAAGAAAAAAATTGCATGCACTGTTTGGAGTATCCCTTTTCACTTTTCTTAGAGAAGAAGATTGAACCCAGGGCTTCATGCATGCTAAATACACAACTCCTCATGATACGACACACACAGGAGTTAATACAAAGCATATAAAACTTTATTTGTTTATTTTTGTCTTTTTGACACAGGGTTTCACTATGCAGTTCTGGCTGGCCTTGAACTCACTTTGTAGCCCAGGTTGGCCTTGAACTCATGGCATTCTTTCTGCCTTAGCCTCCCAAGTGCTAAGATTACAGGTGCGCACCACCATGCTTGGCCTTGGATATAAAACTTTGACAAGTCTAAAGGTTTTGGATCTGATAGACCTTCCAATTCTAACTTCATCATCTACTACATCCCCTGAGGCAAATTACTTAATTCCTTTTTGCTCTAGGTTTCTTATCTAGAAAAGGGCATAATCTTACTTCATAAAGTTGTTGAGATGACAAATTATTGATAACATAAATATATATACTAGTTAGTATACTGCTTTGCACTACGAGGGCTAATCAGTGACTATTAACTTTTTTTTTGGTACTGGGGGTCAAACTCATGATCTTGTGCTTACCAGGCAAGTGCTTGAGCCACTGAGCTAAATCCCCAGCCCTAAATCAACTTTTAATTAGCTCAGTATTACACAAAGATTGTTACAAGAAAAATAAAAATGAAATAAACAGGAAAAAGAACAATAATAAAACGGTAATTTGTAAAGAATAACAATGCTTCAAAATAGTAAAAAATCAAAACAATGCCTCAGCCTCCCAAAAGTTAGAATTATAGGAATGCAACACCACATCTAGATCAGGGTGCTGAGAGGAAAGGTTAGGATGCCACAGGAATCACTTTCTTCTTTGATGGCACTATCCTCTTTTTTTTTTTTTTTTTTCTGTCTTTTTCATTTTTATCAGTACCGGGGGTTGAACTCATGACCACCTGCTTGCAAGGCAGGTGCTTATACCGCTGAGCTAAACCCCCAGCCCCCAATGGCACTATCCTTCCTTTCTTCCTTATCCTCAGTGCTGAGGCAAGAGATTAGGGCATAGCAGGGTGGCTGGAAGACAAGATGTAACCTGTAAATTAACTAAGATCCAGAACAGAGGCTAAACAACAAGATGTGACCTGTCAATCAGGCCAGTGATGCCTGGGCAGAGCAACTTTCGACTGGCCGGATCTGACATATAAAAGACTGGGGACCTTGACTTCCTCGCCAATGAGATCTTGCTGTTCTGCTGTCCTGTTTCCGCAGTAGCTCATCCTGCTTGTGGGACTATTTCTTGTTTTTCTTCACTTTTCATTTTTCTCTTTTACTTCCCCTTTTTTCTACCTTTACTTTAAAGTTGCATTTACGTGTTCATCAATTGTCCTAGCCAATACTTTGCGCAGGACAGAAAGAGCCCAGGATCACCGGACACCGTGCCATTCAGCAGCAGTTTTTGGCCAGCCAAAACTACGAGAGTAACAGCCGGGAGCCAACAGAGCCCAAAGGTGAGACTCCACAGGGCCAAAAGTCTGTGGAGGCGCTTTGTCTGGGCTCCCATCTCGGGAACCAAATAGAGGAAGGGTTTCTGTCTGTGTCTGGTTCTGGGCTGGGGTTCAAGTGAGCTGGGCTGGGCGGCTGTGAGAGGGTGTCTGGAGGCGAAAAAGGTCAAGGGGGTCTGGACCAGTCTCAGAGTTTGGCCTACAGCAGTGCGGCCAGGCCCACCCCGCTGCACCCTGTGTCCTCTGAGGCTCAGGTAATTAGTCTCGCCTGCGGGGAAGTCAAGAGGCGACCGCTTTAAGGCCCGATCTTAGCCTGGGGAGCCGAAACTCTAGGCCTCTCAGGGCCAAAGGGGTGGCTCTGTCTCAGCTGATCTCTACCACCTGCCGGCACTTGCGACCCCGCCTGGGGCATGCGGAGTAGGCGGGCAGCGCTTGTGGGCCCAGCCTTGGGGACCTGGAGCTGGGACCGGCCCTTGTGTGTGTGTGGCTGATCGCTGGGCGGCGCTGCCGCGTTCCAATTGCGCCCTCCGGAGCCCGGGGGAAGCAGAGACAAGAAGACGCCTCGCGCCTGTCTCGCAGCTGGGGGGTCAGGGGGTGGGGATGGGGGTGGGGGCGGCTGAGGCGCCGCGAGCTGGCGCAGCGGGAGCAAGAGCGCGCGCCCCATAGCCCGGGAGCGGCTCCGCGCCGGCCACTAGCCCTCAGTTGCTGATGCCCAGAGGCCTGCGGTCGCCTTGGGGTGGACCTGCCAGGAAAAGCGGGGACAGCGGGCCCGAGAGAGAGACTCGGCAGGCAGGTGCGGGTGTCCGCCTGAGGGTGTTGGCCTGGGGCCGCGCCATGACCGGGAAACTCCTAGCAGCTTTTCGCCTGCAGCTCCGGCCACTCGGTTGAGAGTGCAGTTCCAGGCTATTTTCTCCGGAGTGTGGAGGTACGTGAAGATGAGACCGGAAGTGCTGGAAGTCACTTCCGGCTTCCCCCCCCCGGACGCCTTGCTGTACAAGGGGCCAGAGAAACCTTTCTGCCTACCCTTCCTGAGAAAAGTGGCGTTTTCGCCGTCATTTCTCCGAGGCGGAGGGCCAGGAAGAGAATCAGTCTACTTCCTGTCCACCTCCATCGCACTGAGGTCGGCGTGGCTCGCGGAAACGACCTGATTCTGCGCAGCAAGGTGCTGAACAAGCGGCGCTAGGATCTAGGTTTCACAAAGCCGGAGTGGGCCTGGAGGAAAAATACCCGACAAGTTGAGGACAGTGCTGGGTGCAGAGTCCATCCAACAGAGACACACTCGCTGCAGCCCGAAGACTTAAGTGGTGCTCCAGATCAACAGTTTCTGATTTGCAGTATAATATTTGCCTGGAATGGTACAAAAATCTCAAGATTTTCCCTGTCTGCACTTTCTGCACCAGGTCCCTGCAAAGCTACATTCCTACCTGTAGCTTAACTCTATCTTGCCCAGTGTGCCGCCAGACCTCCATCCTGCCAGATAAAGGGGCAGCTGTGCTTCAGAACAGCTCTCACTGTGCTAAATAAGAGGTCATTATACTTACTAGAAATGAGGCTTTTATCTGTGCACTTCACTGTTCACCAACAAAGAAGCAGTTGACTTGGCAAATAGAATTAAGCAACAGTATCAAAACGTCTTGACTCTGACATGAGTCTCACATAAACATGAAGAGTATAGTATCCTGGCATTAGCTCATCAGTGAAATTGACAGAATTCGAGCTAGCAACAGGGCTTCAATAAAGATAATGTTGCCTGGCAAGCACAGCAAGTTCTGAATACTCTGCATTCTCAGTTTGAAGATTTTTCTGGAAGATAGCCAAAAATGCCAAATATTTTCTGCCTCACTTATAAGACAATTGGAAAAAGAAGTTAATATATATAAACAGCATTATCAAGAACTTCTTAAAGCTGCAGAAAGGAGTAAGAGAAGTCAATTTATATCTGTACATCTCTGAAGTTAGACCAGTTTAAGAACTGTGAAGATTGCTTGATTAGACAGATCAAACTCCAAAAAGAGATGATTTGTGTGACAGTGTTCAAAATCACAGACAAGGAGAAACTAAAGACCATGTTTTTTAAAAAGTCAAAAAGTTATATTGAGAAAGCTGGAAAACCTTTCTTTAAGCAAAGGATTTCTAACGAGGCAATATCAACCAAGAAAGAACACTTATCTGAAGCACTTCAAATCATTGCTATTTTTGGAGCTCAACATGAAGGCAAAATGACAGATGAAAAATTTAAAAATGAAAATTATTGCATGTTACACTATTTAGTGAATCTCTGAAACAGAGAATACAAACCTCAGGAGATCCAAAATGGAAAAACAGCAACATACCCCAAACTGGCAGAGCATCATAGAAGTACAAAGAAAAACTCCAAGGGGTATGTGATCTTCTCACCCAAATTAAAAACCACATAATTGGGCATCAAGCAACTGATGTTGATAAACATGTTGGAACTGCTAAAGAGAGTCCAAATCAAATTAGGGCCCAACAAGAGAAGATCATCTCTTTGCTTGAGAAAATGGACCATTGTCTTTCTCCTGAGGAAAAAGAAAAACTGAAAAAAAAGCAAAAAAAAAAAAAAAAACCATGAAGGAGCTGGAAAGCACACTATGACACTGAATTGGTCGAATCAGAGAGAAAAATGAAGTTGACACACTCTCAGGAAACATTAAAATGATGTTAATTATGCCATGTTTGAGCACTGGCTATAGCAGACAGAACAAGAACTTGAAAACCTGGGGGGCATATGTGGATGATTTCAGTGGTTTGTTGACCAAGCTGAGTAGACAAGAAAGTGACTCAGAAGATGTTATTTTTCACAAAGGTAGTGTTTTATTACTTTTTTCTCATTGCTGAGACAAAAATACCCAACACCCAAAATGAAGGAAAGAAAAGTTTACTTAGCTCAGTTTGTGGATGTTTCAGTCCATAATCAGTTGGCTCCAAGGCAGGGTGGCATGGCACAGGGGTAGTAGTTCAAAGCAAGACAAGACAGCAAAAGCAGCAGAGCAAAAGAGTGGGGAGAAAGCCTTGTTTCCTCCCTTGTATTGTAAGCAGGCTACCCTCCTCCCAGGGCAGGTGTACAGCTCACAGTCTCCATGCACTCTTGCACACCATGAGGATGTGTACAGAGTGAGGACCCTATACAGGTAGCTTGAGATAACAGAAACAGTGTTAAAAGTTGTGCAATTGCTGGATGTGGTGGTGCACACCTATAATTCCAGCACTTGGGAGGCTGATAGAGGAATGATCGCTGTGATGTTTAGGCCAAGCCTAGGCTACGTAAGGGTGTTGAAGGCAGCTTGCACTACATAATAAGGCCCTGCCTCAAGGGGGGAATAAAGAGCTGTGCAGTCTTGCAGTAAGAGAGATGGCAGCAAGATTGATAACAATGTTGACACTTCTGTAACCCATAGGGAAGTCTATAGCAAGCTACATGGTGGTATGAATTGGTTTAGAGATCTTTAAGGGTAATATCCCTGAAATTAATCTTGAAGACTTGGTGGATAAATACCAATATAAGGCAGCTACAAACCAAAATCATTGTAGGACATTCCTTGTTTAATGACTGAATTATGTTCCTGTGACTAAGTCATTGAATGAATTGGTCACTAAGTGAGGAATTGTATACAGAATGTACATTACAAAAATCAAAGCAAAGAAATGCTCAAAGGAAACTCCAATTTGGTAACATTGCTTTTATTTTCATAACTTAGAGGCAGTACTGTAATGTACAACAAAATAAAACTCCACTGCTGTAGTATACAATATAATTAGCAAAAATTACAATACTATGTTATAGAAGAAGCCACCATAAGACTGCATTCCTGCTCACATTCTGCATTGTAAGTCCAAATGTAGGTTTTAAATCTGAGCAGCAAGTGGTAAGTCAGAACAGTGTGCCTTGGTCCTAAGTCCAAACAGCGGTTGTTAAGTGAGAGATTGCGTTTATTACATTGAGATGAGGAGCCTGACCCTCTGAGGCAAAAGAATGCTAAGGTAAACCAACTTCTCACAGTTTCTTTGCTGCAGCTTGTCACCACACAGCTCCTATATACAGATGGATAATTCATGCACTCAGACAATGCCATCTCCTGCTACAACATGTTTGATTTCCTACATCTCATAAGGAGGGGCTACATAAGAATCTACAAACTCCTCCATGAACTAATGATGCAGTTGTTGAAAGAAACACCAAAGGAGAAACTACCATTACCTGACTGACCCCCATCACTATGAATATAAAACTTCTCAGTGCTAGGTTTCAGGATCAGCACTCTTCCAATTTGGTGATAGTGGTTTTTTTTTTTTTTTTTTTTTTTTTTGAGATGGGATCTCGCTGTGCAGTTCAGGCTGGCCTTGAGCTCACTTTGTAGCCCAGGCTGGTCTCAAACTCGCAACGATCCTCCTACCTCAGCCTCCCGAGTGCTGAGATTACAGGTGTGATCTCAGTCTGTGAGATCAGGCTATGAGCCACCATGCCCAGCGGTGATACAGTTTCTTACTTTTGTGTAATCATGTGTATGTTAATCAACAGTTTATTAAAACTTATTGTCTTTATCTTGAATTTAGAGGCTTTTGTTATTTTTAAATCCAGATCTCTAAATTAAACAGCTGTGGCTGTAAATCTCTTTAAAGCTACATCTTATAGAAGTTAAAACTTTTGCTTAAAACAAAGACAAAAGCATGAGATTTGGTCTAGATCCTCTCAGAGATTTGGGTAACCTAACTGCTCTAAAGAACTATCACAACGTTGATGAAGTGACTAAAAAGGATATGGTTTACCAGACAAGTAGGAAAGTCCTACCAGGGCTTCACCCTGATCTGTTTGTTTGTTTGTCTTTTTGAGACAGGGTCTTGCTATGCAGTTATGGCTGGCCTTGGGCTCACTTTGTAGCCCAAGTTGGTCTCAAATTTGCAACAATCCTCTGGCCTCCGCCTCCCGAGTGCTGGGATTACAGGTGTGAGCCACCATGCCCAGCCCTAGTAAATTCTTTATGTGTCACAGGGGATTCTTTGTGTACTGATTGGGTCTTGTTCTTCTTCAAATGACACTCTGAAGGATACTAGACCTAATTTTCTCTTTTTGCAGGCCTTGGAATTCATCATGGGAAATATCCTGGAAAATACCTCGCAGATCCCAGCGATCTCGCCATTAGGCTGTATTCTTCAACATTGGGACAGGTTTGACCCTGCCAATCTGAAGAAGAAGCAACTCATCTACTACTGTAATACAGTTTGGCTCCAGTACCAACTAGACAATGGCAAGAGATGGGTGCAGAATGGAAGTTTAGATTACAGTACTATTTTGCAGTTAGATCGATTCTGCAAAAAACATGGAAAGTGGACTGAAGTTCCTTATGTTCAGGCTTTTGCATCTTTGTATGTTTTGTGTCTTTCCACCTCCCCCAGTTCTTCTGCCCTTGGCACGTTCCATCGTAACTCAATGGAGCTACTTCCTCCAGAGTTGCCCCTTCACTTCCCTGTTGAGGAGGGCCCCCTGGCAGGGACAGTTCATCCTCTCTCAGGATGCCCTTGGTTCCATGGGATGTTGTCACGACTCAAGGCCACTCAGTTAGTACTAGAGGGAGGCACCAGCTCCCATGGTGTTTTCCTGGTTCGTCATAGTGAGACAAGAGAGGGAGAATATGTCCTCACTTTTAACTTCAAGGGCAGGGCCAAGCACCTGTACTTGTCATTGAATGAAAATGGTGAGTGCTGGGTCCAGCACCTGTGGTTCCTGTCCATTTTTGACATGCTCAATCATTTCCGAGTACACCCTATCCCTCTCGAGCCTGCAGGCTCCAGCGGTGTGGTCCTGGTTCGCTATGTACCTACCAAACAACAGGGCTGGGAACAGGCCAGGAGTCATGCAGAGGTGTGTGAGGGAGATCCGTGTTACCCCAATTTGTCTTCCATCCTCATGCCTTTACAGCAATCCAAAAAAGGGAGAGTTGTGAGCTCAACTTCTAGAGGTAGTTTATATTCCCGAGCAGGTCATTGTCATATATTGTAAGAAAAGGCTGATCAGGAGGCAAGTCCAAGGGCAGTCTTGTCACCCCCAAGACCCTAGCCTTATCCCCAGTTCCTGAAGAACCATTCTGGTCCTTCTTCAAGGAACACAGTGACAAGCTATAAAAACCTTACATGAGAAAATGATTGTTCACCAGACTGTACTCCTGTGAACCTCTGGAAGATCTAAAGCTCCTTTTCAAAAAGCAAGACTCCAGTTTGGCTTCAAGTGCACATAAGTAGTCACCATAAATACACAATGGTAGCCTACTGAACATTCATCTCCTGACAAGTTCACTAAGCCCTCTTCTGTTACTTTGTATAAACATTAAGTCTTTTTTTATAGCCCTCTGACAGGTTTTCCTCAGCTGAGCTGGTAAGCAATGTTACTCTAATGCAGACAATACATAATCCCCAGTAGGTAGGGCCTACAGTCCCTTTCAGCAGGAAGTAGCTATCTGAAGACTGAGACCTCCACTCCTTCAACAACCCATAAAGAATTATGGGGATTTATGTCTCTCTGAGGGAAAATGAGGTAGGAGATCAGGACATGGCAGGGTGCTGGAAGACAGGATGTAACCTGTCAATTACAAAGACCCAAAACAGAGACTAAACAGGATGTTACCTGCCAATCATGGCCAGAATATGTAGGTAGAACAACTTCCAATGGATCAGATATGAATGAGTATAAAAGATGGCAGCCATTGACTTCACTGCCACTGTGGTTCTTATAGTTCTGTGGTCCTTCTGTTTCTGTAGTGGTGCATTTTGCTTGTGGTATGTATCTTTTACTGCTTTTCTCTTTACTCTTTTCATTTTTTTTCTTCTCTTACTTTAAATAAAAGTTGCATCTACCTGTTCACCAGTTGTCCCAGTCAATTCTTTGGGTAGAGCAGTAAGTGCCTAGAATCACCAGATACCATTCCATCAGGCAGCAGTACCAATTTCTTTCCTTCCTCCAATGTTTTGTTTCTGAGACATGGTCTTGCTATGTAGTTCGGGCTGGCCTTGAACTCAGCAATCTTCCTACCTTAGCCTTTGGAGTGCTGGAATTACAGGTGTGTACCACCATGCCTGGCATGTTTGTGTGCTTTCTTTAATTTTTTAAAATTTATTTTTTTGGTTGTTATTGTTTGAGACAGGACCTCATTATGGAGATCAGGTTGACTTTGCACTCCCTATGTTGCCCAGGCTAGTCTTGAATTCACTGTGCTGTGTGATAAATGGATGTGAGTGGAGAGCACTCCTGTGCTGCTCCTGTGTCTGTCACAGTTCTCGCCTACCTGGGGTAACAGCCATCTCAAGGTGTTGTCCTCTATGACAAGATTCTGTGGTGTCCTCTCAGTTCTTGGAATGAACATGTGTGCTTTGAATCACCACAGCCATCCCAAGATTCCAGGCCAGCCTTATTCCTTTCTTTCTGGCCCTACTTTGCTGCTCCACTGTTCATTATTGAGAAGCCCTGCCATTCTCACCAGGCATCAGTAGAGACCTGGCTAAGAAATGCTCTGGCAGGAACTTTTGTCCAGATGTTGGAAGATAGCAATTGGGAGGAAGACAAGAAGGAAGTACGCGAGTTCCCTAGACCTAGAAGAATCTGAAGTGTGAACTGAAGCCCACAGAATAAAAAGAAAAACTTCAATGAAGAAGGCAGAAGCTGGCGGTGCCTTCTCCCTGAGCTAGATTCATTGCATGAGACAAGCTGTTCATACCCGGGGACACACAGTTATAGTGATGGTGGTGGCTGGTAACCCCAGAAGCCTCTGCAGAGAGAAATGGCAGTGGAGAGTAACAGTGGACCTGACGGACTGCACTGGCTAGTGGTGAGTGCAGAGGATTTGGTTCTCCTTTGGGAGAGAGTCATTGGCTAGGATAGAGCGGCATGATTCAGGACTTAGTCTCCACAAGCTGTCTACTAGTGAAACCAGAGAGAATCCTACAAGTGGATTATTTCCTTTTCTTTTTCATTTTTTGTTTTTTCTCTTTCTCCTTCATTGCTTTTTATGAGTGTGAGAGTAGTTCCTGACCTCTTCTGTTCTTTTTTATCTCTTTCAGCTCTCTTTTCCTTCAGTCTTTTGCATCAGTTTCCCCAAGCTGGCAGGATCCACCTTTGTCCTCCAACCTTACTTGTAATCTCTTTCTCTTACTCCACTTCTCTATTTTCTCCTTAATCCATTTTAAATTTTAACCGCAAGGGCAAAATTGACACATTGTGTAGCTTATATATTACATATGTTTATCCAGTTTCTTTTACATTTTGTTATATAATCACATATCAAGTTCATACAGTTAAAAGTTGCAAATTAAGGGTTAGCTCAGTTTGTTGTTTTATAGGCTGTGTTTGATGCTATTGGTACCACTACAGCCAAAACTGGCATAATCGTTCTAAACAGCTGTTGGCTCTGATAATCCATGACTGAGATTAACTAAGGGTCACAGCAAATACTGTGCCAAAGAACCAGAGACTAGGCCAAATGAGCAACAATTTCTTATCTCCAACAAACTGAAGAGGTAAGATCTTCTAACAGATGCAGAACCCAAAAACCAGCTATACTTGGAAGATACCTCAGATAATTTTTTTTTGTCTTTTTCTTTTTTATTGGTACCAGGGATCGAACTCACAACCACATACTTCCAAGGCAGGCGCTTACGTTACTGAGCTAAATCCCCAGCCTAGAAGCTTTATTTTATCCTTAAGAGTATAAGAAGTTGAGTAAGTCATGAGTACTACCTTGAAAGAACCAAGTTGCAGCAGATTAGGCCAGTTTGAGGACAGGATTTCCGATATTGAAGACAAGATTGATGTTATAGGTCAGGAAAAGAAAGCTATCTCAAAAATAGCAAGGGATCAAGAGAAATCAACCCAGCAGCTGATAGATGAGACAAAGCAGAATAAATTAAGATTAATTGGAGTCAGTGAACAAATGACATTAAAAATATGTTTAGAGATATCATGACAGAAAACTTTCCTGGTAGAGAAAAACAATTTGACACACAAATAAGCGAGGCATGTAGAACTCAAATTAGCAATGATCAAAAAAATCTATAACCAGGCTTATCATAGTCAAGATTCCAGAAATTCAATACAAGAATAGAATCTTGTAGGGAGCGGAGTTGACAGCCCCATTGCTGCCTCCCCGCCTCTCTCTCCTATGGGCACATAATGTGCCTGCCTACATTAACCATAATCCTCTCCTGCTTATCTCACATACCCGGACGTGACGATGACCCATCAGAAACCACCCCATAGCCTCTTCCTGTCCCGCCAGCCTGCCCTTGGCCCACAAAAGCTGAAACCTCTTCCTGAATAAATGAGACTTGATTGGACTCCTCAACTTGTCTCCATCTCTCTTTGTCTCCCCGCTGTTCTTTATCATCCCCATTCCCCCTCCAGGTACACCCCATGGATTGATCCGCGGATCGGATCAGAATCTTAAAAGCTATTAGAAAAGAAACAAATAACCTATAAAGCCAAGCCCATCAGAATCACAGCTGATTTTTCAGCATAAATTCTCAAGTCAAGGAGAGTTTAGAGTGAAGTACTCCAAGTTCTAAAGGAAAACAACTTTCAACCTAGACTGATGTATCCCACAAAACTATCTTTCAAAATTGAGGGAAAAGATACTTCCACGACAAAGAACATCTGAGGAAATTTATGACCACCAAACCAGTACTCCAAAATATTCTGAAGAACATTCTAGAAAGACATAATAAAGACTATAGTGCCATGAACACCAACAGAAAGAATCCAGCAGGAAAGGCAAACATTTAGAGGGATGGGAAAAAAAGACAATGGGGGAGCCAACAATAAGAAAACAACATGAGAAGGGTATGTCAATACATATTAGTTATAACCACCCATGTTAATGGTCTCAATTCACCAATCAAAAGACTGGCAGAATAGATCAAGAAGCAAGATTTAACAATATGCTGCATAAGAAACATATTTAATTCAAAAAGAAACTCATAGACTGAAAGTCAAAGGATAGAAAACAATACCTGTATGTGATGGGAAAGCAGGGGTAGCTATTCTATTTGCAGACAAAGTGATTTTTTTTTTTTTACCAGAGCATCATATAAATTTATTTCAGATATAACAGCAATGTTCAAATTGAAAAGTTTAATTTTTAACTGCACCAAGTAAACTTAACCATTTAAGCATTTTCAAAGTTATTCCCTCCAAAAACTGAGGGAGCTTTTCATTTCCCCCACCAACCATGGTTCCCCAATAGTTTTCTTTCTGCAGGACTTTTGAACTGATGAGAAAACTGCTTTGAAGATATTCTAGAACTCTTTCCCTCAAATGAAAACTAATTTGGACAAATTACTTATTGCATAGATTTCTACACAAATTCTTTTATAGACCTAATCTTGGGAAGTATGATGGATATATCCTGTGGTCTTCTAGTTAACAGAATTACTGATTTATCTCAAAGATTATTTTTACCATTTGTCAAAAAAAACCAACTCAATAATGGACATTAATCTTTATTGACTCAAAGACATATGAACTAGTGCCCAGTATCTACCTCGTCCACATCTTCCCTTCTGTATGTAGATGGAATTATTTAACACCAGCTTCATGGAGGACAATTAACCCTTGATAAACACTAAGAATTTAGATTAAGTCATTAATGTAGGGTGGAAAACATAACTCTACAATGACAGGAAGCCTATACACGCAATTCAAACTTGAAAATTTTTCTTTTGTCTTTAAATAACATGTACTTAATTGTGAGGCAGCTGTTTAGTTTTCAATAACCACATTTAGGGATACATTCATAGGACTGTGTATATAGTCCAGGTGAAACAGTTATAGAAATAGAGGTGGTACAATCTCAGGAAATTCATTTATATATCAAAAACTATTTTGATATCTGGAAGTTTACAAAAAGGCTGAATTCTTCATGCTAATTATGCTTTCTGTAATTCAAGCACTCTTCTGGCAAGAGCAAGCCAAAACTTATCTGTGAAGGTAAGTAAAGGTGCTTAATGTTAAACATTTCTTCTAAGCTTGGATTCAGATTAAGAAACTGATGCTAAAGACTAACCAGCATGGTCTTTCTACATTTTCACTAAGATTAGAACTCTATAGACTCATCCATCAATGATTTTCCTTTAAAAATGTTTTTCTTGGCACTCTAGATTGCTGAAGTCTATTTTACTTTGTACTTTCACATTTCCAAATGAAAACATAAGGTTATAAAGTATATACAAACATTCTATAAAGTAATTATGGCATGTAACTCATTTGGAAACGAGACTTTTATATATGAGGATAAATATTACAAATCAAACTTCCTTTTAAAAGCAAATGACAGAACACTCAAGCTTTGTGCATTGATTTAAGTCTATGAAGAACGTTTCTTGAGTCACCACCGATAAATCTAAAAAATTGCAAATATTGAAATTGGACAACTAGAAGAAAACATGAGTATTTCAAATAGCTCATCTTACAAAAAGTTATCAATTTGTCAGAACCACTCCCTACTTGCAAGATAATGATGTCGCATAAAACCACTCCTGTCAATAGAGGAAGTCACAGTGATATTTGTATTATTAACAAATAATACAACTTGTGATACAAGTGATATTTGTATTATTATTTATGGGTTTTTTTTTGTCTTTTTCATTTTTATCGGTACCGGGGATCGAACTCACGACTGCACACTTGTAAGGCAGGCGCTTATGCCGCTGAGCTAAATCCCCAGCCCCCAAACATTTATGTTTCTACCTTTCCAAGAACAGAAGCAGTTTGTTCAATAATTCCTCTTATCCTGAATCCTCAAACTCAATATTGTAGGCACAGAGTATAAGCAAATCTGGGATATTCTTCAACAGATAAGGGAGTTTCATAACTAT